AAAAAGATGTTGCAGTTAGCTTCAGGGCTAATCGACATTTTTGGTACTCCAATTTAAAGGCAGCAAAAATATTTCCTGCTGAGAAAAACGTCTAGAAACCTCTAACGATGAATTATTAAGCTATCTTGAAGTATCTCAGATGAAAACTTGGGTAATTATATGTAATAGCGTTGTTGCCAAAATGCCAGCTTTGTGGCGTTTTGTTTTATTTAACCTCATATTAATAAGAGAATTTCCACTAGATTGATGAGGTCCTAACACGCATTTAAGATGACCAAATGTACTCGGGCTGTGAAGAAGGGGAATTAAAAAAAAGAAACCCAAAACCAACTACTAGTGAATGAGAAGGAATTTATTTCATGCTCAATGGAGTTTAGCACTATAAAGTCTTTAGCTACTGGCTAAATACATGCATAGAGGGCTGATTCCATTTTGTGTCCCATTGAATGAGGGAAAAATACAGATTAGTATTATAGGAACACTGACTAAATAATGTCTTTCAACAAAAATGTATAGTCTAATTTATTAAGTGCACAGCTACAGAATGAGAAAACTGTCACATATGTATACTGCTGTAGCCTCCATCCTGCCTTTGATTTTTATGCATAAAATCAAACGTTTGCTCTTGCTAGATTCTTGATCCCGATGTCCTTTCTCACTCTTTGATTTCCTTTCCCTCCTCCAACTTGAAGCTTGGGTAGTTTCCCTTAACTGAGATATTTCAGTGGTCTTTGAAATGATTCAGCAACCTGAGGTGATTAAAAAAAAATTATTATTATTATTTTTAAGTAGTCTCTACACTCAGCATGAAAGCCAGCACGGGGCCTGAACCTACGACCCTGAGATCAGGACCTGAGCCGACATCAAGAGTCAGGATGCCTAACTAACTGAGTCACCCAGGCGCCCCTTAAAAAAAATTAATTTTAGTACATGCTTTTTCTAGTGTGTATTACTACCTTTTTTTCATCTTCTAGCAGATGTGGTCATATGCAACAGGGAACAGTAATTATTTTATAACTACGAAGTGAAACTAAATGTATTCATGTAAGGAATAATGTTTAGAGAATAGTTTTTGTTTTTTGTTTTTTTTCCCAAACACTAGTTTATCTGAGAAGAAAGACTGAGTTGTAGTAAAAGATAGCCAGGATGTTTTTATGACATTAGCTGTTTAAAGGTTTTCTACTCAGCCATGCTACCCAAGGAATTTATTTTTCTTTTTATTAAAAGTGTATTTATGATACCAGCAAGGTAAGAACATGTAGAAGTTCTTTAAAGCCTATCTAGTAGAGGGGCACCTGGGTGGCTCAGTCAGTCAAGCATCCTACTCTTGACTTCAGCTCATATCATAATCTCACCATTTCGTGAGTTTGAGCCCCACATCGGGCTCTGTGCTGACAGCATGGAGCCTCCTTGGGATTCTCTCTCTCTCTCTCTCTCTCTCTCTCTCTGCCCTCCTGTGCTCAAGCTGTCTCTGTCACAAATAAATAAATAAATATAAACCAAAATTAAAGCCTATCTAGTACCAAAAACTACCTGATGTTGACTACTATAAATGAGCTATTATTCAACCAAATTATGTTAAGTTATGTTCATGAGGTTTGAGCTTCTTTTCATCAGTGACTCAGAGCAGGAGCTTCTGAGTCCAGAGAGCATGTGCCCTCACCACCCCCAGCTGCCCCCCAGTAACTCAAGGCCATTGAGGTTCTCCAGAGTGGGAGGGAGCCCAGAGCAGAAAGCAGGGAGTTCTCTTGATGTGAAGCAAATGAGGTGAGGGGCAAAGAAGGGGGAGGCCTTGTGAAGTTAACATGTGAAGTATTTGTTGATAGAGAACTGCATTGCTAAATCAGTTCCCATGACCTTGGTTTCTTTTTCTTGCTTGGCTGATCTGTGCAAAGAGAATGGATAGAGCTGATTTGTACTGCAGATCTACTTGCATACATGTGGTGTAGAGCCAGAAAAATATCATTTTAGCTGAAGGGTTAAAACACCAAGCTGTAAAACCATTATTGCACTTTATTCTTTTTTTAAATGTCTGCTTATTATTTATTTATTTATTTATTTATTTATTTATTTAGGGAGTGAAAGAGCAGGGGAGAGGGACAGAGAAAAAGGGAGAGAGGATCTGAAGCGGGCTCCATGCTGAACATGGAGCCTGACTTGGGGCTCAGTCCCATGACTATGAGATCACGACCTGAGCCGCAATCAAGAGTCGGACGCTTAACTGACTGAGCCACCCAGGCGCCCCCAAACCATATTGTATTTTAAATGATTGCCTCATTAGACACATTCAAACCAGATGACTAGAATGGTGTGATCCTCAAGGATGGAGAACATTAGTATTTGCCTCAGACCAAACAATTCACTATCAGCACCTCCTGCCATGTGAATACCACACGCAAGAACGACATGTCACTTTAGGAACTAGATCTGTACGTAAAATGTGTTTAACTAACTACTGGTAGATAAAAATAATACATCAGGGAACTGCATAATTACACGTAATGATTTGTCTGTTTCTTCATAAAGAAGAAATCCCCTTTAAAGGAATATGATAAAAATAACCAACTTTAAGTTCACAGTGAAAATATATATAATATTTTAAATATTGTATATATTAAATATTGTATATAATATTATAAGTGTGGATTGTGTTCACAATTAGGAATCATGATCTGGAACACAAACATTCAGTAACTATTTTTTTGTTGAGAGGCTAAGGGCCTCCAGACTTGAACAGGGTCATTCTCCTGGGGTAGAACACTACAAATAGGTAATTCTGTTGTATGTCGCGTTTTCAAAAATATTTATCTTTAAGTTTATGTATTTATTTTTGAGAGAGAGGGGAGGGGCAGAGAGAAAGGGAGACACAGAATTCAAAGCCAGCTCCAGAATTCAAAGCAAGCTCCAGGCTCACTGTTAGCACAGAGCCAGACACAGGGCTCAAACTCACGAACTGTGAGATCAGGACCCGAGCTGAAACCGGACGCTCAACTGCCTGAGCCATCCAGGTGCCTCTGTGGCATCTATTTTTACTATAGATACATAGTAAGTTTTTTTTTAATGCAGTAACTCTGAAGAAAAAAAACCATTTTAATTTTGTAATTTCAGTGATTAAGATATCTATATTAGAAAAGATCATTGCAAACATTAGGCAGTACCTAAACAATAAAAATTGAAGACATGAATTCCTTCTGTATTACCAAGTTTATATTGTGCTTTTTCAGATTTCACTGGAACAGAAACATTGCAGAGAAAACATTGACTCATTGTTCTTTACAAAGAAGAGATTATCTTCTGTGATCTTAGAAGATCAACCTCGAGTAAATTAGAGAAACGCCCCTTAGCTAACCAGCACCCCCAACCACAGTGGTATCTCTCTGTACACAGTGTCCATTTAGGTAGAATGCCTCTCTGGTGTCCTGTACACCATCGTTTCTAGATCTTTATGGAAACTTCACTGCTCTTATCTTCTTTTAACAAGATAAAGCTAAGTTTCCAAAGACCCTAAAGGAGTTCTGCTTCCCACAGTCATCCAAAAATTATCTTCTGAATAGTTTGGACAAGTTGCTAAGAGACAAAAATCAAAGACAAAAAGGAATGTACAAAGGCAAAGATTAACACTGAATTGAAGAGAATTTCGAAACCGGGATCATTATGTTCTAACCTCTTACTCACCAACAAAAATAGGCAGTAAAGAAAACGGAGAAGGAGGCGAAAATCCTAGATGATTACAGAAAGACCACGTGTACTAGCAGAGGCAGCGGGACCGAAGCGGACAGAGAAATGCCCTTCTTTTAAGTGAAAGGTGTTTGAATTTCATTGGCAGGTACATGCCTTGGATCATTTGAAACTTGTCTCAAAACCTATTTTCCCAACATTTTATTGTGAAGATTTTCGATCAGAGATGTGCAAAGGATTGTACGATGAACTTCTCTCCACCCACCTAGATCCTACAATGAGCATTTTACTCTTTCTCCCACCTGTATTCTATGTCTGTCCATCAACCCAGCTTTTTTTTTGATGTGTTTCAAAGTGAGTTTAGATATCTGTATGCTTTGGTCCTAAACTTTTTTTTTAATAAGTTTTATTTATTTATTTGGAGAGAGACAGAGACAGCGTGAATGGGGGAGGGAGCAGAGTGAGAGGAAGAGAGAGAGAGAGAGGGAGAGAGAGAAAATCCCAAGCAGGCACCACGTAGCAGGATCCACGTGGTCTGTGCCTAGGGCCCAACTCAGGGCTCGAACTCACAAAACCATGAGATCGTGATCTGAGTAGAAACCAACAGTTGGATGCTCAACCGACTGGGCTACCCAGGCACCCCTGCTCCTAAACTCTTAAGCACCTACATCAGTATGTGATTCTTTTTTGTTTTGCAGGTAAAGTGTACACACAGTGAACTACTCAAACTTACCCAAACTGTAGACTTGTGCATTCTTCAGTTTTTCACGACAGCATGTGTGTTTAATCCAAGCCTTTATCGGGGTATAGAATGTAACATTACCCCCAAAGTTCCCTCGTGTCGCCCCCCAGTCAATCCTCACCCCCTGCAACTGCCTGTTCTGATTGTTTCATCAGAGATGAGTATTTCTTGTCCTAGAATTTCATATAAATGAATCCACCATATATGCTGCTCCGTGTAAGGCTTCCTTCCCTCAGCACACAGATTGAAAAATCTCTTTTAATTCACCTGCAAAGTGAGATGAAGTAATCCCATCCTTTTTTTTTTATTTTTTTTAATGTTTTATTTATTTCTAGGAGAGAGAGAGAGAGACAGCATGAGCAGGGGAGGGTCAGAGAGAGAGGGAGTCACAAACTGAAACAGGCTCCAGGCTCTGAGCTGGCAGTCAGCACAGAGCCCGACGCGGGGCTCGAACCCACGAACCACGAGATCATGACCCAAGCGAAAGTCGGACGCTTAACCGACTAAGCCACCCAGGCGCCCCAATCCCATCCTTTTGATTTCAAGTGGCTGGGCTGACTTGGTGAATCCTGACTTTCAGGGCTGTTTCCTGCCATCCTCAATCTTGCTAGCAATGCGCACATCAGCACCAACGCCACCTGCGGCGAGCGGGGGCCCGAGATGTCCTGCAAACTTGTGGAGCACGTTCCCGGCCGACCGGTACGCAACGCCCAGTGCCGGATCTGCGACGCCAACAGTGCCAACCCCAAAGGCAAGTGTTACTCCTATTCGGAAGTGCCCTTCGAGACTGCACCTCTAGAAATGGTGGCTGCAGGCTTCTGTTGGGAGTCACGAACATTGTGTTCACCTTCACTCCCATTTATTCCCACTAGCCTTGCTGTTGGGAAGTCAAAAACTTCTATTTTTTCTTTTCGCAGAACGCCATCCAATATCGCATGCAATCGATGGGACCAACAACTGGTGGCAAAGCCCCAGTATTCAGAACGGGAGAGAATATCACTGGGTCACAATCACTCTGGACTTAAGGCAGGTAGGTTGGGCCAGAAGCACCGAAGGGTGTCTCTGGGTTGCTGAGTTGTGCTCTTCCGATGCCCTTCCAGAAAGCCCGGCTTGTGTCTGGACATGTTCACATTCTGGTCAGACTGTTTTCCACCAGATGAGTTCAATTGATGTACAGAAGTCGTCCCTTTCTTGTCGCATTCGTCACTCCCAGGTATCTGTGAGAATATGAGTGTCCACGTGGTTTGGTGTTCTTAGAAGCTGGGTAAGAGGGCAGGGCACGCTTGGCCGTTTGGGGTACCATGTCAAGCTGTGTGCTACATGTTATCAGAAACGCTGGGGGTCAGGGATGGAACAGAGGTTATTGGCTTTTGAGGTTATTGGCTTGCTGTTATCAGGGTGCAAAGGTATCGCAGAAGGGTGTACATAGAAAATAAGGCTAAGAAACCAAAGAGATCACGTGACTCCTGTTGGCTGTGCTCCAGCCCTGTCATGCCATCAGTGAGGCCAAGAGTAATGGATGGTCCTTACTTCTGTGAGGGAGCCTTCAGTACGAGCTGGCCACGGCAACGTATAAATGGCTCTGGCCACGCCTGTATCCTCTTGCTTTGCTTCAAGACCACATAGGAGGATGGAGAAAAATACGATATGGGCCCTGGTTTTCCCGATATTTCTGGGAAAGGGAAGGAAAAGGAAATCTGAGAGGAAGGAATGAAAAGAGAGATTGCCGGTATTTTGGGCTATTGGCAAAATCTCTCATCTGAGTTCTCCAGAAAAGCCATTGCATGATGTTGTTATTTATTTCCATTCAATTTCACTTGCATTAGAACTCATCAATATCATGTTAAATATAAGCTGAAAGAGACAAATCGTTGAAATGTGCACTGCAGCGTCGAAATAGGAATTGTAATTTAATGGCAAAGAGTTATAATTCTTTGAACAAGTCTTAGTTTTTTTTTTTTTTTTAATGTTTGTTTATTTTAATAGCGAGAAAGAGAGTGTAGCCATGCGTGAGTAGGGGAGATCCAGATGGGAGGGACACAGAGAGAATCCTAAGCAGGGTCTGCAATGTCAGTACAGAGCCCAATGCGGGGCTTGATCTCATGACCTGATCCAAAATCAAGAGTCAGCTGCTCAACTGACTGAGCTGCTCAGGTGCCCCAAATAAGGGATAGTTTTTAAAATGTGCAGGATTTTAAGTAGAAGACAAGGTAATATTGTGTATATTCATGTACAAGGAACTTTTGATTTCGAATAATAACGGTAAAAAAAGAAGCAAAATGCGAGGGTCCCCATGTTTAGGTTCATGGTATTTATTTAAGTGAAGTAACACTTCCAGCTGTTTTCAGCCATATGTCTTGAGTTGTGCTGTCATGTCTTAATATTTATAAATTCCCCTAAAGCAGAAGAGAAAAGAAGCCCCCCTATTGGCCTGGTCTGTTTTTATTTCAATGGTGAGAATGTTTCTGCAGGAGATCTCGGTATTCCCGTCATCTTTTCAGTTTATTTTCTTTTTTCAAGGGGAAAACTACAGCCATTTTTACCATCAGAAATGTGATAGTATGTGGGTTTAGAGACAAACCAATAGCTGGGCATTTCACATAGAGATTTCAGATCCATGTTAGACTGTCGTTTATCATGCAGTGTGTCATGTTTGATCTCACTCTGATGGGAACTCTTTTTTTAATATATTTTTTAAAAATTTTATTTATTTCTAGGAGAGAGAGAGAGACAGCGTGAGCAGGGGAGGGTCAGAGAGAGAGGGAGTCACAGACTCTGAAATAGGCTCCAGGCTCTGAGCTGGCAGTCAGCACAGAGCCCGATGCGGGGCTCGAACCCACGAACCGTGAGATCATGACCTAAGTGAAAGTCGGATGCTTAACCGACTAAGCCACCCAGGCGCCCCTGACTGGAACTCTTTTGCTTTAGGTTGAGCCGAGTTGGCTTGAGGAATTCCAAGGGTTCGTTGGTTTTAGGTCTTTAAGGCATATTTCAAAAGTAGGCATGTTTACATAGTTATAGACCCGTAGGTAATTTCTACTGCTTTTTAGATACATTTCCAAATTAAGATTGCTTAGACTAATTGGTACTCAGAAGGGTCTTCATCTTTTTTATACAGTGTAACATCTTTGTCGTGCTCTCCGGTTTTTAAAAAGTGCATTATGCAGATCTCTCTCAGATTTATTTATTTATTGAGCCTTTTTCTTATGGACATTTTTTGATATATAGAAAGCATATTACAGTAAGTGTGCATATACCCAACCCTGAGATTCAGAGATTGTTAAACATTTTGGAATGTTGATTTCAGCTTCCCAAGCAGTTTCCAGGTGAATGGCAGTCATTATGATATTGTACTAATACAGTATTTTTTGTGTCTTCAGAAACTAAAGAGATTTGTCCTGACTTGGCACCATGCCAGTAGCAGCCCTAACAAAATTAAGAGCAATTCCCTAACAACTATTTTATAGTTTATTTTTTATTTTGATTATCCCATTAAAAGGAATATTTATTGCCTGTATGTCTATAGGAATCTATACGTATACTTCACATGTGAACATGTATATATGTATAAAACATATTGTGTATGTATAGGACTTACACAGTTGACCCTTGGACAATGTAGGGGTTAGGATTACTGACCACCTGTACAGTTGAAAATTCACATATAATTTTTGATACCCTCAAAACTCAACTATTGGCCTTCTGTTGACTGGAAGCCTTATCGATAACATAAATAGTTGATTAACACATATTTTCCTATATTGTATGTATTATCTACTGTATTCTTGCAATCAAATAAGCCAGAAAAAAGAAAATATTATTAAGAAAATCATAAGGAAAGAAAATACACTTACAGTATTGTACTGCATTGCAAAAACTCCGTGTATAAGTAGACTCATGCAGGTTAAACAATAATAGGGTATTTAAGGGTCAACTGTATGTAGTATATAGATTATATGTACTGTGTTATCTGTATATAATATACAGAATTTAATATTATGGATTTTGTAATAATACAGAACTTTAATATACATATTAAATCTATACATGTATACATTGTATATGTACAATCTATGTATTGTATATTCATATACAATGAATATATACAGGATTCTATATATGTATACATACTTACGTAAGTATAGGTTATAGATTACAGAGCACTTTTTTCCCTCATCCATATTATTTTATCTGCTCTCTCCAAAAATCCTGGAATACAGATGGTCTCTTTGGAGGTAAGCACATTGCAGCACAGAGCGGTTCACTGGCCCACGAAGGGGTAAGTGGCTCTATGTGCTGAAGCTGCCATTGGAAATCAAGACTTGTGGTCCCTTCTACACTCTGTTATTGTCTCACCTCATTTGTGCCTGGTCTCCTATCACTGGATTCCTCTGCATTATGAGGAGACCAGCTGGGGGTGTCTTACAGTTTCCTCCTGATTTGGGATAGTTCAGGGTCTTCTTACTCCCTCCCCTCGTTTTTCTCACCTCACGTTTCTGCTCAGTGGGTCCTTTCCCTGCAGTGACTGGTAGATGTGGGTGCTACCTGCCATGGGATTTTTGGCCAAGAAGCAAGAAGATGAATCGATGTTTTATATTCTCCCTCGAAAATGTTTAAACCTGGGCAAAATGTTTCACTGGGAGGTGGTCAAATTTGTGAGTCAGAGTGTGTAATGTTCCTTTAGAAGAGACAATACATCTCGTAAAAAAAAGGAAATGTTTCCTATGGCACTGAAAACTGCCTTTTGAGGCAGTGCTTTATTTTCTGTGTAGGTTTAATTAGGAAGTGGCACTTTGTTGTGGGAACATAATCACAGAAGGGCCTTTGTTTTATACAGACCTTCAGACAATAGCTGCTTGTTTGCCTGGTTTTATAAAACCTCATTAATGTGGATATCTGTTGGTTTTTTTTTTCCCTAAAATTTCTGAAAAACTGACCAGAACTAGATTGAGGTTTATGAGTGTGTCATCCAAATAGAAAGTGTTTTGCTAAGCACACTGACAGGGTAAATAAGATTTCACAGTCTTCGGAGGGAAAACCTTGAAAGATTTTTAGGACAAGAACTGCATGTAAATTGGAGTTTCTCATTGCAAGTGAGTCTTGGCTGTTCATTAAAAGAGGTCAGGCAGAGACCCTTTCTGGAAACTATGGTAGGAATTATTGTTAACCGTATACTTGCATTTATCCAAAATGATTCATTCTGTTTCAATTTTCTGTTACTTTATACTGGTCTCAACCGATTTCAGATACTAAGTTTTTTCTTGAGTTTGCTTGGCAAAAAGAATAGATTGGAAGAAATCTTAAGCTCTTCATTGTGATCTGAAAGTAAGCCACACAAAATTCTTGTCCTTTGGGCATTTTTACCATTTTCGTCCTGTTCTCTGTGAAACTGCTACTCTCATCGATGTGTCTTTCTTTTGTTTTCATATTTTTATTATCTCATTTTATTGTTTCATATGGGACTTCTCCTCCAGTTAGCTGTTGTGTATCTGTTGTGTAAGAAATCACGGCAGACCTTTATGCCTTCAAACAACAGCATTCATTATGTTTATCCCAGTTTCTATGGGTGAGTGATTCAGGAAGGGCTTGATGGAGCAGGTGCATGTGTAAGGTTGCAGGCCATGGGGGTTGGAGGTGGGGGAGCCGGGGAGGGGGGTCTGGGCAGCTGAGGTGGGGGGTTCTGGGACAGCTGGGAAAAGGGTATTGGGGCAGCTGAGACAGGGGTGCCTGGGCACCTGGGGGCTGGCCACTCTCTCCCTTCATGTGGTCTCAAGACTTCTCTGTGTGGCCTCTCCATGTGGGCTGGTGTGGGCTTCCTCGGAGCACTGCAGCCTTGAGGCAGATTGCCTACATGGCACTTCAGGGCTCCAGCACAAATGTCAAAGAAAGTGGCAGAAGTCATGTCCACATAGAGACCTGGCCTCCAGAGTCACGTGGGAGCTCTTCCTTGTGCTCTGTGGGCCACCCAGTCACTGCAGTCATTGAGGATCCAAGGAGAGGAAACAAGGAGCCGCCCAGCCTGTCAGCGGA